TACCAAAGACAATATAAACTTTAAGATGAGTAACGCTATACAACAAAGTGCTACTATGCAGCTTGCTTTTTTGAAATTTGAGAACGAAAATGAAATCAGTATCATTGCGCTCTCACAGCCGAAAGAGCGAAAACCTAAAAATAGAATGTACTCTACGCTTTGGCTCTCTGAGAGCCGTGCAAGCAATTATGTTTGTATGTGTGTTAGTATACATACATAACAGCATATTTGAATGTGTTGTTATTCTCAGCTCTGGCTCATTGAGTAACAAAGAGACAGAGCTGAAGACTCACTCCGAGTTTTTTTTTACCGTTTTCAAAATCACGCGCGGTCGATTGAGTTGGTCCGCAAAATCAAAATCAAACTCAAAAATAAAGTTCATTTTCCATAGGAAGCAACAACAAATCACTTGCAAAACAACAACAGTGCGCAGTGATCATCAAGAGTTTGTGCGCGATAATGAGGACATAGGAAACTCATTGTAAAGAAAAGGGACGAATAATGCCACTGTGTTTGTTGCTGGTTTCTCTGTCGTTCCAACAAGGCAGCGCGTAGAAACAACAACAACACAATTTGAGTTATAATGCTGTTGCTGCAGAGCCGAGTCTCGGCGCAAGTAGGTAGCAAATTTTAATGCCAGCAGGCCATGGCATTCAAATCAGACGACGCGTCAACAACAAAAATTATGACGTCACATTTCATAGAATTTTATTTCTTGTGATGTTTAGATAAATTTCTATATAATGTATTACTTTATTGTAAGCAACGGTCGCACACAAAAACCCTTAAGCTGTGACTTCATGTGCGAAACAAAATATTGCAATCTTTTCAAATTCATATACTTGCCTTGGCTTGGCGGACACACATACATGTACACTTGCACCAAAATATGAGTGCTGAGACACATGCGCCAACAACAATTAGGCGCATCTGTATATTTGTTACTCTATGATTACTACTCAAGGAAACGAGCGCGTAGCGCGAGCTGCATTTGGTGTTATAATAAGAGGGTCCAGGGTATCCCCTAGTCGGGAGCTCCCGACTAGAACCTCTTACTTGTTAAATATAATCGCTTGATGTCCGACTTTTAAAGCGCTATTACTTTTTGTTTTTTTTATACCCTGAACCCATTCAAAATGGGTAAAAAGGGTATAATGTATTTGTGCAAATGTATGTAACAGGCAGAAGGAAGCATTTCCGACCCCATAAAGTATATATATTCTTGATCAGCATCAATAGCCGAGTCGATCTAAGCATCTGTCTGACTGTCCGTCCGTACGTCCGTCTGTATGAACGCAAAGATCTCAGAACCTATAAGAGCTTGAAATTTTAGCTGTAGGTCCTCCTAGTGCCCGCGCAGATCGAGTTTGTTTCCGATAGCCGATAACTTGCCCCGTTTCCAAGTAATCGATAAAAATCGATATCGATATCCTGTTTTTTGAGCAATTTTAGTAAATAATAAGAGCTAAAGTCGCCAAACTTGACCTGTATCTTCTAGAGGAGTATATATACATATATGTCAAGTATCTTTCATTTTATACCTATTGCCACCTCCCCGCTACTACCTCATAGGTATAAAACAAGTAAAAACACCAATTTATGCTGCCCACCAATATAAGCAGCAATTTTATTGCAATTGTTATTTTGAGAATACACGAATACTTTATAGTACAATAGAAAATTTCTTCAAGTTCGGTTCAGAAACATAGAAGTTATTAAAGAAAAGGTGCTTTGCCTGGCAGGAAGCGCAAATTCCAAGAATTTCTGTATACATGTACACACACACGATCATGCGCGTCTGCTTCGAATTCTATCAACAGCATTGCGATTGCGATGATATTGTTTTCTGTGCAAGTTAAAACCCTGCCAAGGGAACTTTTGTTTTTTTAATTTACCTTTATTACTACTTAAGCAAACGAGCGCGTAACTTGAGCTGCATTCGGTGCTGGAATAAGAGGGTTCAGGTTATCCCCTAGTCGCAGCTCCCGATTAGAACCTCTTACTTGTTTTTTTAGTTTAATTTTTCTTTATTCTTTATTTCTATTCTATAGAATTAGGCGAATTAAGCAACAGACGATAAGATAAGTTTATATGTGTATACCCTGAACCCATTAAAAATGGGTAAAAAGGGTATAATGTTTTTGTGCAAATGTATGTAACAGGCAGAAGGAAGCATCTCCGACCCCATAAAGTATATATACTCTTGATCAGCATCAATAGCCGGGTCGATCTGGCCATGTCCGTCCGTAGCATAGAGGCGGTGACAAGTAGTGCGGCCTCTTACGGGTTCGAGTCTTATTGAGGGAACTTTTTTTAAATTTATTTAATTTTCGCGAAAGCAAACGAGTTCGTATCGCGAGCAGCATTTGGGGTCGGGAACTGTCGACTAGAGGCTCTTACTTGTTTGGCTTGTAGAGGAGACGTGCTTCTGATTTTGGTAGAAGAAGGCTGTTATTTGTTTTCTTTGAGAAAGCAGATGGTAAATGATCACCTCGGTAACGGAATATTATAGCATGAAATGCGTAGCTCTAAATGTTATGGAAGCTTTAAAGTAACAGATGCGGCCTTTGGGTTGACAACAGGATAAGTACATTTATAAGGGTGGGATTGAACCCTATGATAAAGATATGCAAATGACCTCATAAAGTACAGTCCGTTTGTTGACATCTCTGCTGTTCAATACCTGACGATGTGCATTTGCATCGCACCCGATGACAAGCTGTTCATTCAACTGATTGCTTAAGTCGACATGTCGCTGGAACTGAAACAAAGGTACGTCTTAGAAGCAGTTGAAGAGTAGGCTGACACGACTGCCAATACCCGAACCACGTTAGTTGTGTCAGTTTCGATGACTGAGACCCTGAAATTAAAGTTGTTTCGTGAGAAATGTTCCCATGCATGCGAATTGAAAAGCGAGGCGTCCAATATGACAGATAATATGAGTCACAGCTTAATCCATGGGCACGGCCAGCAATCAACCACGTCTCTTGGATCAGATCCATGCTGATTCCGCCTTCGGATACGACCCTGAACAGGGTGGCCGACACTGACCGACAATCTGATTGTATACTAATATTAAGAAGGTCCAGTAGTATATAGTCGTGCTTTACCCACGTGCTGAATAAAAGTTAATGAAAACGGTGGACTGTTAGGTGGGAATTCCAGGGTCAGGGTGCCATAGATGATGATCCCTCCCCCATTCTTTACCCTCCCAGCCTTGGTAACTCATGATTAATTTGAGTGGTAGCCCCAAACTAATATTTTATTCAGTTTAACATAACCAATATGACTTCAGCAGTGGTTCGTATTGGCGACGGACTAAACTATCAAATTTATCGGTACATTATAATAAGTATAAACTTCACATGTCAATCGCATGATCCAAATGAGGGTGCTTTAAGCTTTCGCATTTACTAACTAATCTAATGTGTTACAGAGCGCTGCTTACTTATTAAATATAACCATAGCACACAAGCATTCCGAGTGCGATAAACCCGATTAAATAATTTAATTATAATTTATACTACGAGAGTCTTAACTCGAGAAGATGTCAAAAAGGGTTTGTAAACGAAGTTTATCATTTTCGGGTACAGTTTTATGTCCTTTGGAAGATACACTCCCAAAAATTTGTTATTTTCATTTGATAGTTCGTAGTATGTTGGGCTTAATTTCTTGACGTCTTTAGCTTTATTGAAGGCTGGGCGAGTTTGCTGCTAAGCTTATTGCCTGTATTACTATGTGCAAGGCTACGTGCGTAAACAATATCGCCTTCATTTAGTTTTACATAAATTATAGGTTTTCGTGGTAGTTGCATGAACCTTAGAGTTGTTACACTTAGCTTTAGCTCGCACTAAGTGCAAAATTATATTATTTTATATAACTAACAAGTAAGAGGTTCTAGTCGGGAGCTCACGACTAGGGGATACCCTGAACTCTCTTATTCCAACACAAAATGCAGCTCGCGCTGCGCGCTCGTTTGCTTTAGTAGTAATAAAGATTAATTTAAAAAAAAGTTCCCTTGGCAGGGTTTGAACTCGCAACTGACCGCATTACTTGCTGCCGCCTATACGCAACAGCCACACCAGCCAAAATAAAAAAAAAGCTTCCTCGGTAGGGTTCGAACTAGTAACTGACCGCGCTACTATCCGACGTCTCTACTCAACAACCACACCAATAATTAAGTCTTAATGAGAAAAAAACTAACTAAAATAGCAGCACTGAAAACAATACAATCGCAATTGCAATGCTGTTCATAGAATTCAAAGCATTAATGTGTGTCTGTACATGTATACAGAAATTCTTGGAGTTTGCGCTTGCTGCTGCACGTGTTTGCAGGCCAAAACACATTTTCTTTCGTGTTTCTTAGCCGATATTGATGAAATTTTCAGTAGTAGATCTTATTGTACTATAAAATATTCGTATATTCTTAAAATGACAATTGCATTTAAATTGTGGCTTTATTAGGTAGGCAATACAAGTTGGTTTACTAACATGATTTATAGCTTTGCGGTGGTACCGGGGAGGTGTCAATGAAAGATACTTGATATATATGTACTATTCTAGAAGCTACATGTCAAGTTTGTTGACTCTAGCTCATATTATTTACCCAAATTGCTCAAAAAGGAGGATTTCGATCTGCGCATGGACTAGGAGGACCTACAGCTAACATTTCAAGTCTCTAGGTCTTATAGGTTCTGAGATCCTTGAGTTCATACATACGGACGGACGGACAGACGGACGGACATGGCTAGATCGACTCGGCTATTGATGCTGATCAAGAATATATATACTTTATGGGATCGGAGATGATTCCTTCTGCCTGTTACATACATTTGCACAAAAACATTATACCCTTTTTACCCATTTTCAATGGGTTCAGGGTATAAAAATCGAAATTTAGGTGGCTGTAAAAGGCAGATTATGCGTTTCATGCTTATCGCTTTATTATAATTCGACAACTGACATTATTAAGCCTAAATTAAGCCTTGTGGATTGGCCTTTTAAATTTTTCCGCCGCTGGCCGTCCTTATTTCTGCCACTCTAACGACGCCGTTTTCTCCTGCGTGCACCGCCGTCACTCTGCTGATCAGCTGGGGCGGCAAATTGTCCTCGGCGACGACCACCAGCTCTCCCGTGATGACGTTTGGCAGGCGATGTTGCCACTTGTTCCGCACTTGGAGTCCGAGTACATACTCCTCTGACCATCGCCGCCAAAACTGTTGCTTGAGCAACGAGACAGTTCGCCATCGATTCAAGCAGATGAGACCCTGCTGGTCCGGGGTCCCCTCTGTTGGCAGAGCCCTCAATGGGTCTCCCACCAGTAGGTTGCCTGGCGTTAGAGCCTCGCCATTGATTGGGTCCTCGGTTATTGCTCCCAGGGGCCTGGAATTGAGAACGGCTTCCACTGCGACAATAGTCGTTTGCAGCTCTTCGGCCGTTAGCAACAGACTGCCTACCGTCCGTAAGAGAAGGTGCTTTGCAGACTTCACTCCTGCCTCCCATAGACCCCCGAAGTGCGGAGCTCTTGGCGGTATGAACGCAAATTCGCATCCGCTTTTTGATGCGAATTCGCGAATTGCGTTCGCCTGTTCCTCGATTCGCAACTCCTTAAAATTGGCGACTTGCTCCGACGAAGTTCGTCGCGTTGTCGCAATGGTCGGTCTGCGGGACTCCTCGACGGCCGACGAGCCCTTCAAAAGCCATTAAAAATGTATTAGTGGATAAGTCAGATACTAGTTCTAAGTGAACCGCATTCGAAAGGCCATGCTAATTGGGCCACAAAATCGTTCTGCTGGTAAATTTCTCATAATTTGTGTTAGCAGTCGAGGTTTGCATTTAAAGCAACGGATACATGATCTCACTGTCTGACGACAGACCTCTTGAGCGTTGCTTAGCCAAAGTCGCTCACGTTAAGACACACGAGTGCTTTTGGGAAGAATGACAATTCGTCAAATACAGGTATCTAATAAAGCTTCTAGCGAATTGCGAGCTTTTTTTTTTAAGTAGCGGAAACTTGACATCATATGAAATAGGAACATTTACAAGTCGTCCCCCTACTCGCAACTACGAAAAGAAGCACCAAGATCCATTATACTCATGTATAAAAACCCTATCTATGTCATCTTTAAATTCAACTCGCTGGATGACTTCAACTATTTTCTCGAAAGCTGCTTTCCTTTCGAGCGCCGTAGGGATAGTCTCAAATTGTAATTCTCGATTTTTACATTTTTGAATAAAGCGGAACGCATAAGCAAACACTCTCATCAGCCTGGCATGCGATGAAAAACTATCGATAGTTTCCAAGATATCTAGTCGGTCTACCATAGCTACTAGTCCAACAGCTGTTTTGCGTACTTCTAGAGTTCGCATCTCTTCTGTCACCAGATGCTAGTTAACCAGCCAGGATTCTCGCCTTTAAAAATGAAGGCCCATCGAACCACATTGACGCAAGTAATTCGTCAACATCGCAGCCTCTTGACACAATATCTGCTGGGTTTTGCTTTGTAGGTACATGGCACCAATCAGCTTTCTCTGTCCATTCTTGGATTTCAGCCACTCGTTCGGCACAAACGTTGCCAAAGTCAAAGGATGTGACCGAATCCAATGAAGCGTGACTTCAGAATCAGACCGAAGAACCATCCGTTCAATGGGTAATCTTATGAGATTTCTAACTCGATGACAAAGATCTGCGAGAAGGTGAGCCGCGCACAACTCAAGTCGGCGAAGAGTCTTCGTCTTGAGGGGGGCTACTTTAGTTTTGGATGTCAACAACGAAATACGACAACCTCCTGCAGTATGGCTGCGTTTATATACGCATGCGCCAAACGCTCTTATTGAAGCGTCAGCGAAACCATGTATCTCGATCGGTGAAGTTGGCTCTGTAAACACCTATCGTGGTATCTTTATTCGTTGCATCTAAATCAAAGTAGATTTCAGTTGCTGCCACGAGCTATCCGAACTCTGAGGGACAGATTCATCCCAGTCTAATGTCTGAAGCCAGAGCTCTTGGAGTAGGATTTTTGCCTTGATTATCAGAGGGCTTAACAGGCCAAGCGGGTCAAAGAACCGCGATGTCACCGAGAGAATGTTCCGTTTTGTCGCTCTAAGACCCATGTATGAATCGTCTAGCTTGAATAAAAAGGCATCTTCATTAGGCAACCACAACACGCCAAGTGTTTTGGTTGTGTCAGACTCTGAGATGGTTATCGGCTTGGCTGCGTTTGTTGAGGAGAACTCAGGAGAATTCGAAAACCATTTGGTTAGTTCGAAACCTGCGCTTTGGAGTATTTGCGACACTGCAGACTTAATTGTCTGAAAATTCTCTACGCATGCAGCACCAGTCAGTAAATCATCGACTTAAAAGTCGTGCCTGATAACGTCAGCAGCTTTAGGGTGTGATGACTCGCTCATCTCACTTAGCTTTGTTAAACACCGTATTGCCAAAAACGGGGCAGGCGCAGTGCCGTAAGTTACAGTGTTTAACCTGAAGGACCTCAAGGAGTCAGATGGGTTTTTGCTCCACACTATGAGATGGAAATCTCGATGCACCATGTCCTGCCTATACATATTTTTGATGTCAGCTGTCAATGCATATTTGTGGAGTCTAAATTGAGGCAGAGTCGAATATAGGTCCTCTTTAATGGTCGGCCCAATCACTAGAAGGACATTCAACGCATTTTGAGACGATGTCTGACAGGATGCGTCGAAAACAACGCGTAGCTTCGTCGATGTGCTTTGTGCCCTTAAAACATACTGATGCGGAATGAAGTAGTGTGGAGTTCTTGCAATCTCATCATCTATTTCAGACATGTGACCTAAAGTTAAATATTCCTCCATGAATTCGAAGTTCATACGTTTAAGCTCGGGATCTCGAGACAAGCGTCTTTCAAGTGACAAAAAAAAACGCTTAGCTACCTCAAAGGAGTTACCAAGCTGATTGGGATCTGATTTAAACGGCAGTCTTACCTTAAATCGACCTGACGGCAATATTTCCAAATTATTTAGATAGTGGCTCTCATATAACTGCTGCTCAACTGTTCGGACCTTTTTGGCTGCAGGCAACTCTTCCAATGACCAAAATTTCTGCATTGTTTTGTCTATCGAGGTATAAGACTTTTCTTGGCAACTCAGATTAACAGCATGAGTCTTCTCATGACTTGACGGCGTGTAACGCCCTGAGACAATCCAGCCAACAAATGTCTTTTGCTTTGGACAATTCGGACCTTGTTTAATCTGAACGACAGACAGAAGCTAAAAGAACGGCTCAGATGCGAAAAGCATGTCGATCTTCTGTGGCTTATGAAAATATGAATCAGCTAATTGCAGGTTCTCAGGGATTTTCCAACCACTGACATTGACCGTATGGTCAGGCTGATAACCCGAAATGGTCTTCAAAATCCACAAATCTAACGAGAACTCACTGCAATTGACTCGCAACATCACCACTGTATGAATCTTTTTTCTTACTTGAGTATTGCATTGAGCAATCCCAAGTAAGCTGATACTAGCCTCTTCCCTACGCAGCTGCAATCGTTGTGTTAGCTCGTCTGTTACAAATTAATTTATGAACCAGAATCAAGTAAAGCTCTAGCCAAAACGAACTCGCCACTTCTCGTTTAACGCTAACGACTGCGGTAGCTAGGATTACACTATCTGACACATTCGCATGCATAGCCTGTGAAGTCGATGGTTGATCCTGTGCGTAGTCAATGGGTGGTGGTAACACTCGAGTGTTAGAAACGGCAGAGTATCTATGCAACAGTGTGTTATGAGAACGACTGCATATTCTGCACTTGTTTGTCTTACATTTGGCAACAGTGTGCCCCTTCCGAAGGCAATTGATGCATAAAGGAGCCGCCTGTGCGAAATCAAACCGCTGCTGTACTGATAATGTGGCAAATGCTGAGCAATATCGAATGGCCTTCGGAACCGCAATATAAACATTTTGGGGTCACTTTATCGTTTCGTTTCGTTTAACGAACCTCGATTATTGTTTTTGGAAACAGCGTTTGACTCTGGCTTCGGGCCGTCCGACGAAGCTTTGGCTGATTCTTTAGCAGAAAGGTGTTGATACCTACGATTTAAGGCTGTTTCACAATCACTTTATAATGGAATGTTTGCATAATCAAGTTGATCCTCCCATCTTCGTCTGAACATTGTGTCAACTTTGTTCATAACGAGGTGAATGAAACTCTAACATTGCCTAGAGCTTCACCATAGAGACATGAGATCAGATGATTGAATTTCTCTATGCTCGGGATCGCATGATCGTTATGAACAAGAGTTTCGAACAGGCTAATAAAATTCTTAAGCTCTGAGTATTTTCCACTTAAATTGGGAAGCGCTAGATGCGTAAGACGTGTGCGTGGAACCGCAACAGGCATGCCTTCAGGCGTCTTGATAACGGACCTTAGAAGCGCTTTGGTCGTTGTACAAAGTTCTTCGAGCTCGGCACGATACTCATCATCTGGGTCAAAAGAGTCTACTCGAGTCTGATATTTTAACGCTGTATCTATATGTGAGGCAAGCATTTCTAATATACATTCTAACTCTGTGGATTCTAGGTTTAATTTACCCTTTATTATTTGATCATTAAAACGCAATATGCTTTTAACGGACATTTTGCGTTTCTTTTTTGAATCGTCAAAACTTTCCTTAGTACTCATATTTAACTCTAAATTCGATTCAATAATTATTAATTTATATTAAAATCGAATTGCCAATCGAAATCAAAAAACTGATATACCTGATCAATAAAGAATAGGGGAGCGAGCGTCTCTTGACCGAAACGCGCCAACGAAAAATGCGTACAATAACAATTGCACAGCCACCGCTTAGCACAAAGTGGAACGAATACGCTTACGGCACTTATATACAAGCGCTTGGTCTCGGACAACTGTATAATTTAGAGTGGTTGAGAGTGATTGCAAGAAGGGGAAAAGACAAAGACTTAGCGAAATGAAATTGTAGTGACAATAAATTTTGGGCACTAATTAGCATTCGCTCAGAAGCACTAAATCGTACATATACTAAATTATATGTAAGAATCTCCAAAGCGGTTAGTAAGTCAAATCATAGTTATGCTCAACTACTTTACATATGTGCCAAGAATTAAAAGCGTTGGCTTCATTAACGCAACCAAGCCAAAAGAGTTGGGCTTTCAATTTTTAGCACAGTACTTGCTGTTCCGGACGTTCCACTTTGGAAGCTACTTTCCTTGGCATTCTCCAACGAAGGCAGCAGGATAGATTTATTTTTAATTATTCCCGGCCGACGTGAATTTATTTTTCTTTTCAATTTAATTAGCTCGCGAGCCACAGCAAATTGCACTTAAGCCACTTGAGTTTATTTAACACGCAAAATTATCTTTTAAAACTGTCCACCCGTGCTTATCGCTTTGTTATAATTCGACAACTGACATTATTAAGCTGAGGCGGCGAAGCGAGGCGAATTCGCTCCCAGAGCGAGTGATAAAGCTTTATTGCGCTCTCGCCCCGCCCTAAACCTAACTTACACTAGACTTCATGTTTTAAATTCATTTACAAGCAATGCGCGGTTCTGCGCCAACAGATCAGGTGTTTTTAACGATGTGCCGTCCGTAGCTAAGTTTAACTTTCTACGAAGTTCGTGTAAAGAATACGTTCATAATCATGCTATAGACCTCAGAGACCCACTTATTTCATTCAGATACTTGTCTCAGCTTGTGGGATCCTTGCCGATATATGCGCGTATAGCTGCCAATATGGACCGGTTCAATCGCTCGCTTCAATTCGCCTATAGAGAATAATTTTCGGTGCAGATGTTACTTTTAGCTTTAGTTTGAATGGGGACCCATTATCTGTTAAGATGCATTCGGGTACTTCGAATGTGTAATCTACATGATTTTTCAAGAAATCACAGATTCTGTTAGAAGTCAACTTTTCATTGGGTGCAAGAGGCAACAAGTGGGCAACAATGACCAGAAGACCGACGATTCCGTTTTTTGACAGTGGGTATGGACCTAAAAGATCTATATACAATTTTTGGAATGATCTCTCCGATGTCATTGATATCATTTGCGTTAGCATGCTAGGCCGTAAGAAAAGTCGCTTTGACTTTTCTACCATTTTACCGATTCCGAGGTGAGCAGAAACCGCCGGATTATGGGCTTGATATAATACCTGTTCTCTCAAGTTAACTGGAACTCAAAGCTTACAAGAGTCTGATCCAGGTACGCTTATATACGAATTTATCGAAAATCTTTAGGTTTGTTAATTTAGGCTGGCTCCCATTTATTTTATTACCAAATCTAGAGTTCAGTAACGTCGGCTTCGTACCTCTGGGACAGGGTATCGGCAACGACGTTTTGCAAACCGCTTCGATGTTTAATTTCGGATGAAAAGCCTTGCCATCGGGTCGACCATTTATTTATTTCCTTAACAACTGCTAAGCACTGGAGTTCGGTGAGCGAATAATTATATTGAGCCTTAGACAATTTTTCGGACATATATACAATCGGTAACTCGACGCCGTCATTATTTGCTTTGGCCAATACGCATCCAAGGCCATACAGACTCACATCGCACAATAATACAGAGGGTTTCAAAAAACAAGGCGTCCTCAAAACAGATGCAGATGTCAACTTGTTTTTCAGCAGTTAAAATCTTCTCCCGCCTTCGAATTCCAATTCAGTGGTTCACTCTTTTTCGGAAGTTCAGTAAAGGGAAAGGTTATCGCAGCGTAGTTTTCTACAAGTCGTCGGTACCATCCGGCGACCTTGCTTGGGTTGACTTTGAGCTGACCATGGCCGATAATTAATTCTAAGTATTTTATCTCTGTCATACAACATTTGGACTTGGCTATATTAAAAGTCAAGTTTGCTTCAAGAAGATATACACCAAATTCCCTCAACAGATTTATGTGCGAATCGAAGTCTTCGGACAGAACCAAGAGACCGTCCCAATACACAAATACTCTATCTCGCGGGCTTGTTGGGATTACTTGATCCATCAGTCTGCAAAGAGTCTGTGCGGCATTACATAGTCCGAAATTCAGCACTTTGTATTGGTACAAGGGCCTATGGTATTGGAAATGCTTGATTTGCCAGAATACATGCTTCATATTGAGACCAGTGAGCGGGGGCAATCGACTAAGGATGCCATCTACATGGGGTAACGGTTGTTTCTTTAAGCGTCAGCCTGTTCAGTTCTCTGAAATCTAAGCACAAACGGACTTTCTGTCCCTTCTGTACTTATACATAATTGCTGCTCCATGGACTCTTTGATTACTTTATCACGCCTAGCGCTAGCATGTTCTCAATCTCGGCAAAAATCATTTCTTCTTTGGCAGGGCAAACTGGCCAATGACGCTGCTTGACGGGCTTGGTATCACCGACGTCTATGTTATGTTCTGTTAGTTGTGTGCGTCCTAAGCCTTCTTTCTCGTGAAAGGGTAGCTCGCTACTTAGTGCACTGAGTTTGCACTGCTGAACTCCTGAGAGAGAATGCCCTTTCACACTGTAACTGTAACTGTATTATCATCTCGGCATACATCTTTATTTATTTTATTCAGTAAACCAAAATCTCTCCAGAAATCTTTTCCCAAGTAACAGTCTTGTATTAGGTTAGGTATAACACATAATTCTACTGGTTTAGTTTGGTGGCGGATATTTCGATAGGACTACCAACTACGAAACATTTGGGATTATTGACTGTTCTCATTACACAGAGCACTTATGAAGCTGTGTATGTCTGATAAGCTCTTAATGCAAGAATGCAAACCGGGGGCTGTATTGCGTTGCTTACTCTTCTAGTTCATCCTCTACCTCAATT